TGTAAATGTGAGTCCTGAAGCTAAATCCTTGCTGAAATGGTTCTAAATGTGAGTCCTGAAGCTAAATCCTTGTTACAATGGTTGTAAATGTGAGTCCTGAAGCTAAATCCTTGCTGAAATGGTTCTAAATGTGAGTCCTGAAGCTAAATCCTTGTTACAATGGTTGTAAATGTGAGTCCTGAAGCTAAATCCTTGTTACAATGGTTGTAAATGTGAGTCCTGAAGCTAAATCCTTGCTGAAATGGTTCTAAATGTGAGTCCTGAAGCTAAATCCTTGTTACAATGGTTGTAAATGTGAGTCCTGAAGCTAAATCCTTGTTACAATGGTTGTAAATGTGTTCTGAAGCTAAATCCTTGCTAAAATGGTTCTAAATGTGAGTCCTGAAGCTAAATCCTTGCTAAAATGCTTGTAAATTGTGAGTCCTGAAATAACTATTAAATAAAATGATTCTAATATAAGTGCTGATATAATCCTAGATGCGCATAATTTAAGAATTAAGAAACGTAATAATTTTATTATTTTTTTACACGCTTAAAAAATAATTTCAAAAAGCACAAACACGTTAAAAGCGAAAGTAATCGTATAAAAAATTGCAGCGAATACTTTAGTAAATTTTAAAGTTGATTCAAACGACATTGCGTCATATCCGGTGAAATTTTGAATGCGATTGGCAAAACGATCATATTCTGCCGGATATGACGTTATCTGATACAGTTTTTTTTTAGTGTGACTTTCTGCCTTTGCTAGCATTTCTCATTCAGTATAAAATAGCCATTATATTGTCACGTGGATTCGTGAATAAAATATATAGGCCGTAAAACATCAAATTAGGTTAGGGGAAGAGAAGAAGAAGAAGAAAAAAAAATTAGATAAAATGTATATTAAATAGAAATTTCTGTTATTTAATGTCTTAAAAAAAACTTTGTTTTCCTTTCTGCTTTGTATTCTCTTAAAAGAAAATTCATTTCTGAATTTTCTAACTGATGGGCATATTAATTAAAATGGTAAATATCCAGCATTACTTTAAATTAAGGTATACATTTTCTCCCTAATAGAAGTCAGGTTACCTCTTAAATTCGGAATTTACCCGTAATTATCTCCCAAAAAGTCCCTTTAAAAATTGAGATTTTTCTCTAAAATCCCTTTTTAAAGGGCTCTGACAGAAGGACTAAACAAATTGCAATTTAGGGCCTTGCGTTATGGATCTATAGCTTAGGGCCTCACATCTTTATATGTATCATTATTTCTTATTGCATAGGGTCAAACTGGTTTTTTAAGGTGTTAGCTTTCAGTGGAACGTAAACTGCTCCTTTTCTTTTAATTAATAACTGGAATAGATTGATATTTTTACTATGAATATATAAATATTTATTACGTTATTTCTATATAATAATAGTTCTTATTTGTTTTTGTTTCTTACAAACTACAATGTAATGCTTGGAGATATTTGGATTCTTTCATCATTACATCTTAACTAGAAAATAATGATGTAATGATGAAAGAATTCCATGTGTATTTTTAGATATACCATATCAGGATGTTAGTTTCTTATGGTATATTTTATAATTATACTAGACAAATATTCTGTTTTATTTATAATAATAGCGTCATATCATTGATCTTCACGGAGATCAATGGCATAAAGTTTCTGCAAGAAGAGGGATTCTCATGTTTTTATTGATGGTATTTTAATTCAAGTGAAGTATTATCTTGTTTATTTGAATAAATTTTATGAAACAAATTACAACAAACACCTCTTTTCTAAGAAAACAAATTATATTTTAATTATGCCATTGATCTTCATGAAGATCTGTGGCTTAAGGTTTTATGCAAGATGGGGATTCTAACGTTTAAAGTCGACGGCATTTTGCTTCAAGTGAAATATTTTCTTATTTATTTAAATAAATTTCACGAAACAAATTACAATAGGCTCACCAGTGACCAAATGGATGAAACCACTAAACACTGGTGGTGTGAACCAACGACTTGTTTAGTGGTTCATCCACTAAACAAGTCGCTGGCCAAGTGATATTTTCCGGGTTTTCTTCACGTTTATAAATCACCTAAATAGGGGCCAATTCCTATAGAAAGTCTTCCCACGTGTCGCCCTGCCATATACAAACAAACAAACAATTACAACTTTTACTCTCTAAGAAAATAAAACTAAATTGTAATTTAATATCCGTGATTTCATCCCCTTCGAGTATAGTTCAAATTGAATTTTTTAACCTACAAATATTGCTCTGGTTTAAAAAAAAATATAATATACCTCGATGTAATAATTGCTGTGTATTTAAGCTGAGTTTACTCCCCCCTTTATTGAATTTTACTTCCTTTAATATTATTACTATTTCATCTCCAAATAAAAGTGAATATCAGGAATTATATACTGGAAATCTGAATAAGGAACTGTTTAAAGCGATGCATTTTCAGTTGAATGAATGCTATGTCAATAGTTAACTGGTAGAAAGACCTGAGAGTTGTGTTCTCCTCTTGGGAACCGAGTCTAATTAGTGTTCAAAAGAGCGGAAAGATTAACGAAATCGGCATGCTACTTTTGCTAATTCAAAAAGCTCAGATTGATATCTTGCATGGTTGCATTCTGGCGAATATCTTTAAATTGCATTTATAAAAATTCGAATAAATAAATATAATTTACTTTAAAATCTACGTAATGATATGCTGTTGGCAGATTTAAGTCCTTAAATAAATTTCATGTCCATTGTTTTAGTAATGGACATGAAATTTATTTAAGGGCGTGCGATTTTTTGTGTTTTTTTTTACACAATTTCAAGCTTAATAACTCCTATGCCTTTTGTCGAAAATTTCTGAAATTTTGCAGGGAGGTTTGTGTATTAGGTATATTGATGCTACTAAATTTTAGTGGTTATTGGTGGAGGGGTTGGGAAAATAGAGGGGATCGTGTCCCATATCTGGAGTGGGGTCGCGCTTAATAAAGATTTTACTCGTTATTAGCATTTACATATTTTTACAACTCATCTCTACCCTCAAAATTAAGCTTTCTGCCGTATTATAGTAATTAATAATATAAAAAGTTTTTAAATAAAATCTTATAACAGATGGCGCCACACGCAATTTGAACCTTTGTTTTTTGCCTGGAAAGTCACTCAACTCTTTGCTGGATTTTTTAATTTATTTCCTGCGAAGAAAGGTAAGAATTTGCTTTTCTCAGAGATTTAGTTTCATTTGTTTAGGGAGGATGTCTCCTGGGAGAACTTTTTAAGGGAAATTGCCCCCTATTTAAATGTTATAAATGTGAAGAAACCCGGAAAACTCCACGTGACGGCTCATTGGCGAGGCACGAACTCACGTTTAGTGGTTTTTATCTTCCACAGTTTATTCAAGTGAAAAGACATTAAGAATTGTAATATATTTTCAATACAAGAAATAAAATAATACAGGAAATGTAACAGAATGAACAATAGTTTTTGAAATCCCTGTAATTGTGAGATCCCTCTCACAAATGACTAGAGCACACCATTTGCCGAGTGAAAAAGAACCACCGAACACTGGACGTGGGTTCGTGCCTCACCAATGGGCTATCCAGCAGAATATTCTGGGTTTTCTTCACATTTTTAAAACCTAAATAGGACCAGAAAGTCCTCGTGTGAGCAATCATGGCTTCTATAGATTCCCGCAAACAAGACTTCCTTCTAAATACTTTCATGTATTTTCTTCTTGAAATACAAGAAATACAATGGAATGAATCATTTGTAATAAGTGTTTGAGGCCCCTGCAAATGAGGCCTTCTAATACGTGACTTCTCCTGTTACTTAAAACAGTGCCTAGCACACCTCTAAATATAAAAAAAATCATTAGAAAACATTAATTTCATTCCTGAATCATGTCCTTCCTACTCATTTTCTACTGTTGATTATGGTTTTAAAGGCGTGAAGTAACTTCGAATTTCTTTAACGAATAATTATTAATAACATTTAATTTTTCTGTAGCCGTTTTTAACCGGATGTAATATGTAAAAGATATATTTTTATTTTCGAATTTCCTGTAAATGTTAACTGCCATAGATTAACATGTCGAAGTCTTCTCCATGTCATAGAATTAACACGCAATCTGTCCTTCGTTTTTAAAGTTTTGCCGCATAAATAACATAATGATCATTATCAGAATTGAAGGTAAACTGCTTTATGGAAAAACAATACATAATAATTTCGTTTTGTGACGTCAATGTTACGCTAACACTGGATTTTCGTGATATATTCACGTTCCCGGTGTCTCAGGTTGTGTTTCCTCTTTCGAATTGTTCTCCTCACGACTCTTCCAGTAAATGAATAGGGACGTAATTTTCAAGAATGAATGGTGAATTTCTCCGTTTGAAAATTCCTCATTTATTATCACTATTTGTTTTTCTATTCAATACAATATTGAACAACGGTAAAATCAGTAAATACACCTGTTCAAACCGTTGAAATTATTTCTTGAAATCGTTTGTTTACTTAAAATCAGGTGATAG